TCGTTATCCCTTACCTCATATTCAAGATTTTTCTTCTTCACTTTTTGGTAAGAATATCTTTTCTAAAATCGACTTAGTTAAAGCGTACTATCAAGTACCCGTCGCTAAAGAAGATATTCACAAAACAGCTGTCACTACTCCATTTGGGCTTTTTGAATTTGTCGTAATGCCTTTCGGTTTACGAAACGCAGCCCAAACTTTTCAACGGCTCATGAACTCTTTACTTAATGATTTGAGTTTTGCCTTTTGTTATCTTGATGACATTCTTATTGCTTCTAAAGATGAGAAAGAACATATTGCTCACTTACGCATTATTTTTGATCGTCTTCAACAAGCTGGAATGACAATCAATGTCGCTAAATGTCTTTTCGGTCAAAGCGAGATTTCTTTTCTTGGTTACTTAGTTTCTAACCAAGGAGTTAAACCTACATCCGAAAAAGTGAAATCAATTATTGATTATCCTAAACCTAAGACACTTCATGAATTACGCAGATTCTTAGGAATTATCAATTATTATCGTCGCTGTCTCAAGGATGCTGCAAATCATCAAGCTCTGTTAACAGAATATTTAAAGGACAGTCGCAAGAGGGATAGAAGAATTATTTCTTGGACTAAAGAAGCGGAATTAGCTTTCGAGTCATGTAAAGAAGAACTTTTACAAGTTACTACCCTTTCTCATCCTGCTCCTCATGCTCCTCTTATTTTAACTTGTGATGCTTCTGACTTTGCTGTTGGTGCATCACTTGAACAGTCTATTGACGACGATATCAAACCAATAGCATTTTTCTCAAAGAAACTAGACAAAGCTCAAAGAAATTATAGCACTTATGATAGAGAACTTCTTAGCATTTATTTGGCTATTAAACATTTCAGGCATTTTGTTGAAGGAAGACAACTGATTATCAGAACTGATCATAAACCTTTGATTTTTGCTTTCCGTCAGAAATTGGATAAAGCGTCACCAAGACAGATCAGACAATTGGACTTTATTGCTCAATTCTCTACAAATATTACCTATATTTCTGGAAAAATGAATTCAGTTGCTGATGCTCTGTCAAGAATTGAATCTATTTCAATGCCTATTATAGTTTCTTTAGAAGAACTTGCTAATTATCAGAAAGAAGATGAAGAACTTCAAGTTTTACTTTCTTCAAATTCTTCACTTCTGTTGAAGAAACTTATTCTTTCAGGATCAACCATACCTATTTATTGTGATTGCTCTTCGGAATTAATTCGTCCATATGTTCCTAAACTCTTACGCAAGAGAATTTTTGATGTTGTTCATGGACTCGCTCACCCCAGCGGCAGATTGACATCTAAACAATTACTACTGAAATTCATTTGGCCTTCTTTGAAGAAAGATGTGAAGGAATGGACTCGAACTTGTCTTCCATGTCAACGTGCGAAGATTTCAAGACACACCAAGAATTCTCCAATTAAGATTGCAATTCCTGATCAACGCTTTCAGCATGTGCATTTAGACATTGTTGGACCACTTCCTATTTGTCAAAATTACCGTTATTGTCTTACTATGATTGATCGTTTTTCCAGATGGCCTGAAGCTGTTCCTATTTCTGAGATTTCTGCTGAAACTATTTCTACAACATTTTATTCACATTGGGTAGCACGTTTTGGTTCTCCTATCAGCATTACAACAGATCAAGGTCCTCAGTTTGAAGCAGCTTTATTCAAAGCTTTAACAAACCTAATTGGATGCCAAAGGATTAGAACTTCTGCTTATCATCCTGCTTCAAATGGAATTCTGGAAAGATGGCATAGGACTTTGAAAGCAGCGATTATGTGCCACGAAACAACCAACTGGGTAGAATCTTTACCTTCAGTTCTTTTGGGATTACGTTCGTGTTTCAAAGAAGATTTAAAAGCTTCACCTGCAGAACTTCTTTATGGATCCACTCTTCGTATTCCTGGAGAATTTTTCATTGAAGAAGATTTTCCTGCAGATCCTGAAATCTTTCTTGAAAAACACAGGATTCATATGAGGAATATCAGATCATCTCCTACAAGTCATCATTGCAAAAGATCACCTTTTGTTCACAAGAATCTTTTTGATTGTACTCATGTTTGGATTCGAGAAGATACTGTTAGGAAGTCACTACAACCTCCTTATTCTGGCCCTTTTCCTATTGAGAAACGTATCTCTGATCATTTATTTGCAGTTAATGTTTCAGGAAGAGTTGTCAATATTTCGACAGAACGTCTCAAGCCAGCCTTCATTCCTAGAACTTCAGATTCTACTGAACTTTCTACCAGATCTTCAGCTCCTGTTCCTGCTATTTCAACTCCTGTTCCTGCTATTTCAACTCCTGTTCCTGCTACTTCAGCTCCTGTTCCTGCTACTTCAGCTCCTGTTTCTGCTACTTCAAATCCTTCTTCTTCTTCTACTGTTGGAAAAGCTTTACGCACCTACCCACCAAAGAAGAAGAAAGTCCATTTCGCAACGAATATCGTCACTTGGGGGGGAGTACTGTAGCATTCATCATCCACACCTTTCATTTACACTCTACACTTTTATTACACCTTACACTTTTCACTGCACTTTTACACTTTTTACATCTTTATACATTTGTAATAACTTCAATTCATTAATATACATAATGTTTTTAAGAAAAATCAATATTTCCATAACAACACATTCATTCATTTATTTGTTACATATTAATTCTTTTTGTTCTTTCGCTTTATACTTTCAATGAATAAACATTACTTTTTCAAAGATCTGGTGAATTTATTTATAAGTCGCTACAACTATTTTTTATACATCTTTTTTTCCATTATATTTAAAAAATTTATTCGAAATTTATTTAATCTTAAGAAAATCTATAATTTAAAATAAATAACAAGAAATGTTAATAAAAGTCTGATATATGCAATTTTTTAATGCAATAAAACAATCTATGAATTATATATTTGATTGTATTTTATTTTTGAGATCTTTTTATTTTAAAGTTTTTAATGTAGTACGATTACTCATCTTATGTGTGTGGGATAAAATATATAATAATATGTTACAATGTACAGTAAACAATAGCAAGCAATGTACATATAAACATACATTTAAATATCTTTTCTATAATTTGAAGTTAATAAAACTTAAATTTATGTAATTGCTATTGTTTCTATACATATTTAATAAACAACACGAATTAATATAATTCGAGTGGATCGCAATTTAAACTAAGTTAAATGATTGCGTCGCAAAGTGACCTCAACCATATTATGGGAAGTATACTTGTACTATAAAATATTTTTTACTTTATATGCAACTTTGTTTATTATGTGTTTCTATACTTGTATCTTGTAATTTGTTATCTATTACTAAATATTTTTGAAAATAGTACATTGCAAAACAAAACCTATCTGATATATTAACACTTTGCGACGCAATCACCTCAGTTCAAATTGCGATCTAATAATTTGCAATGCACTATTTTCAAAATAAAAGTATAACATAAAATAATTGTCACAATAAATTTAATATTACATATATATATAAAATATAGAATGGGTCCCTCCAACGCCCATTCTCGTGAGAACGCAACCAATATTCTTTTATCGTCTCTCCGTTTTTATATGTTATACTATATGTTCTATACAATGACGATTGCAGATAACTTCTACCATCTTATTTTATGATTGCTTATTTTTGCATAATGGCAGTAATAAAAGCTTACAAAGATAATGAAAAATATTAATTCGGGAAAGGCAATAATTTGTTACTTTCTAGAATTTTAATTAAATGGAGTCTCATGCATTTAATGTTACTGGAATATTTTTCATTACAAGGATTTCCTTTCAAGGCTACAGTTGTAGCGAAAGCCGCAGCATAAATTCCACAAGAGGTGCAATCCGGTTGTGTTTGCACTTCTTCGAAAATTATATCATATTTGTTGATCTTAGGATAACGAAGGCGAATATATTCTTTTTCTTTAGCAGCCAATGTTTCGTACGTAGTACCAGATAAGCTGTCGTACACGTGAAGTTTGGTGCCATCAAAATAAATACATCGCCAATGATCTGTGCAATTTCCGCCAATAATTTGTAAGCTTTTATTACTACGACTAGCTTCAATTATATGCGGGTATTCTATATATAACACACTTTGTGTTTCAAAGCAAGAAGTTTCTCTTATTACGCGTAAAAATAGATCTAACGATTCATCATTTAATTTACTCTTTATGGGCAATACATTTTTCTTCACTAATAAGAGCGAAGGTATTATATTATCTAACATTTTTCTTTGCCTTTTTATATCATCCTCAGTTAGATCTCTTTTTTCGTTTGAGTAATCAGTTATAATGCAATCGTCATCTTGCTCCATTTCTGGAATAGCAACAGTGGTAGTAGTGTTTTCAATAACACTGTCCACTTTTATGTCATTTTTTTTAGCTACTTGTGCTTCGATGACATACTGCGGTTCTCGAATAGGCATATTTCTTGCCGCTCTACTATCTATTATTTCAGGAACCAAGCAATCTTCGTAGAATCGTGTAAGCAGTGATAACATTTTTGTTTCCCAAAATCTGTTATCATGTTCGACAATTGTGTACTTCAATCCAAGGGGTGTCCACACAGCAAAAATGCAATAATTTCTTTGCGTTATGTGGAGCTGTCCCTGTACTTAGAAGTAGTACATGTGTCTTTGATTCATTCGAGTGTCATCCGTTTTATCATATATTCTATGAATGTCTGAAATCTTATTGAGCATTGCAGTGGTGGGAGACACTTGCCGCGCCGCATAAGGACATTTAATCTCAACGATAGTATCGTCTCCGACAATGCCATCAAGCGTCGCAGCAAGATATGGAATATTTTCATCAATAAATATTCCACTATTATAAATTTTTATCCCCAACTCCTCCTGCAATTGCTCACGTGCTACCATTTCTTTTTCTTTACCCCACTCAACAGCCGCATTCGTCAATTGAGGAGGATAAAGAATTGTTTTAATTAAATTTTTGCACAAAGTTGTTTCTCTTCTACTACAAACTTTTCCAAAGTTTGAAGCAGTGAGAAGATTTCGCCGTATGTTGTGCCACACCGGGTTTTTCATGCTGATCCCGTGTAGCACACTCCAATACAGCACGATTACTTTGCTGATCTTTTAACATTTGATAATGATTAGATTTCAGCTGTTCGTACATATAACCTTCTACATCTGACCGTTCCGCATTTGGTCCATAATCTTTATCAGATGTTAACGTTTTAGCAAAATATTTAGATGTACGAACAGAGAGACCTAATTTTTTTGCTGCGTGTGCGCGTTCCTGGTAAGTATTATTCTTTTTTATATTTCGATTTTCTACTATTTTGGTACGTGCTGGTGGTTCTTTACCCATTACACGACAAGTAGAACTCAATGCTTCCCAAGTATTAAATTGTACTACAGAAGCTTTTACGCGTGTTTCATAAGATCCTCTCCTTGCAAAATGAATACGTTTGCCGCCAATAAATTTACTAATAATTCCATTGCAACTTTCTACGGAATTACTAGTAAATTGATATAATAAACTATCAGCATTTGTTATAATGCGTTTCATTGCAACTTCTATTTTTAAATATAATCCTGCCTTTTGTAATTGGGGCACAAGATTTTCTTCACCTTCTTTTCGTTCACCAGTACAAAAATATTGAAGAGAAAGGCAATCTTTATGCTCACCAAATACATGGCTAGGTATATTTTGTAAATCTTTAATTAATCCAGCAATTTTTGTTTCCAAGATGCTTTACTATTGCGGCGAAACGTTACAGCCTTTACTATAGCGTTTCGAATTTTCATCGAGCTGTTCGAAACGATTTGTCTTAATTTTGCGATATTTCTACCACCACTACTACCCGCTTCGCGTACTTTATTACATAAATTGCGGAGAAGATGATTTGTGCATTCAATCTTCTCCACAACAATATTCGGGTATGGTGGAAAATCTCTCAATTTTTTTGCTACATTACTATCTCCGTCGCCAATATATTTACTATAAATTAATCCATGCATTTCTAAGCTATGTCGGAAGCCTTCAAGGATTATATCACTTTCCATACTTGTCGAGCTTTGATTATTTCCCCATTTTTATAACATTTATGTTCTTTTGGTTTTAAAAAAAGTTTAGCTGCTCTTGCACAGATGATACAATATTTATTTCGGACACCGACAAATAAAACTTTTTTTGAATAATATCCCGTAATAATAGCTGCTCCAGATGGAGAATCGTAACTACCAGAACGATAGGATCTCTTCATCCACGAGCCGTCTGTTATCACGGGTATATGCGGAATGCCGTCTATGACATCTCCTCTTTCAATTGCCAAACGTTTTTCCTCTTCGCCAGCCACGCGCATTTCTTCTTCCGCGGCGGCGGCGAAGGCTTCCGACATTTCGTTGTGATGCTTTATATATTTTTTATTGTTCATGCATGCAATATCTGCAGCAGCAAGAAGTTCTTCAAGCTGCTTATGACCAGTCCCTGTCAATATAGTACCGGATACGATACCATTATTGACATCCAATTTTTTGTCGTCTTTTGGTTCACTCCAAAAGTCACCTGTGGTGTGACACATTCGACATTTGACAGAAAATTGGGTTTTCAGACCGTCATGGTTCTTTATGCTCAATACGAGATCAGTAAAACGACATTCGCCGAGCCAATGAGTGGAGTCTTTGCAATTCAGCAAAAACATGCCCAAAATCGACGATATGTCGTCCACTAATCTCTTCAGAATATAAACGATATGCGTCGATATTCCTATCTGTATGCAAAACAATATTTTCGATATCTTCGACGTCTTCAACATTTTCAACGTCTTCGATGTCTTGAACGTCTTCGACATTTTCAATGTTTTCAGTGTCTCTGATATCTTTGATATTGTTTGGCATACTTTCTGATTCTATGCATGAATTTGCAGAATTATCAAGAAATGTAAACGACTGTGGTGTCAACGCATCATTATCTGTCATGACATTTGTCTCATCTGTATATACGTACGGCTTATATATCGACAAACTTGTCAAATTATCACAAAATTCACGAATATCTGATAATGATCCCACAGAAGAATCATCATCGAAAATACTTTTGTCTGATTGAAATTTTTGTGTGCATACATCGACAGATGATTGAGAAAATGTTTTCATAAAAGATAATGATGTCGACATGTTGTTATCTACATTTCTGTTATCCTCGCATGCATATAATTGGTGTGATTTACCTGGAATTTCTAAATACGATCCACAATCTAATGATTCTTTTTCGGAGTCCTCATCATTTCTTTCTTGAGTCATAAAAGAATTGTCACAAAAAATTTTGTCACGCGCTTGTCGCATGCGACGCATTTTTTGTGATATAGACACACGTTTTGCACTAACTGTTTTATTCCTACTATATTTAGGCATAATGATTGTACAATATGCTCTAAATAATACTAATAAATGCTATAATAAAAAATAGAATACTCTGCACTGACAACAAAACACTACTCTGTACAACACAATACTCTATGCTACTAAAATCACATGAAAGCTAGGTCACGCTTACGTTGTATTGCAAACGATATATACTGCACTCGAAAACCGAAAGTACATATGTTTGCATAATGGCGAACCGTGAACGTGGTAAGTAATTGTTCTCTTCATTTATATATGTATTTATATATGTATATGTATATCGTACATATTATATCCAAATATTTAAAATATTGCACATTTATAAAGTATTCATTTATTCTTTTATGGCGTAACATTATTCTTATAAGCAATGATTTTGTCTAACCTGTAATAACCTCTTATTTGACCTTTGTATATTTATATCAATGTATATACATATATGTATATAAATACATATGCAAATAATATTGTATGCATTATATAATAATTTTAACATTTTTGCAGCAATACCGACTTGTCAGTGAATTTTGTGCCGCCCGTTCCTGGCCATATACCGGTGCCCCGAGGATGCATAATTTTTGTGCAAACACCTCCAGCTGTGAGTATTTTTATAAATAAATGTATTTAGAGAGAGAGAGAAGAGAGAGAGAGAGAGAGAGAGAGAGAGAGAGAGAGAAAGAGAAGAATAAATTTTACTAATTAATTTTTTTAGACTCATCAAATGGATCGTCGTCGACGTTATCGGCCAACGTCGTCGTGAGCGGCGGCAACAGCAACAGGAGCAAATGCTTCCGCTACCACCGCCGCGCCAGCAAAATATCCGCCGCCCCACCGCACAATTTCCGCTGCCGCTGCCACCACCACAAGTTCCGCCGCCGCCATCACAATATCCACCACCACCGCCGCCGCCACCACAATTTCCACCGTCGCCATCACCACAATTCCCACCGCCACCGCCACCATATCCATATTTTGAAAATAGGGTTGGGGGGGAAGAAGGGGACAAAGAGGTCGAGGTGGAAAACAAGGAAGAAAAATTTTTCAATTCCATTTTCATTAATATTATTACATAAAATAATATTAATTAAAATAGAATTAAAAAATTTTTCTTCCTTACCTTAACTCGCCTTCTGGCTGATGTCATAATAAAACATGATGATATAATAGTATAATAAAATATACATTTGTATACAAGAAACTGAAAACCTTATTTTCTTACCAAGTCCGTATAATTGCATGTTAATGAAAATTAATGTGTATATGCATTACAATATATTTAATACAATATTCTCTTAATTTGAACGAAAATTATAAATAACTTATGCGTAACATATATTTTTGGACTCCTAAATAAAAATATTATATTATTTACAAAAAATAAGATAAAATTTTTTATTTGAATAGTCTCAACTGCTCTTTTAGCTGAATGTTTAGAAGCAATGAAAAAAATCGAGGATCTACGAAAAATTTAAGTACATTTCTAGGATTTTTTTATATGATATAAAAAATATATGGTATATAATTGATTTTTTAATTTTTTTATTATTTTAATTACACACACACACACACAAAATAGATTCTTATTATTTAAAATAGTTCATTTTTGTTCTTTATTTACATATGCATACATATACAAAAAATAAAAAATAATATGATAGCCTTTTTTGCTGACATTATCTCTCAATATTTGCATCCGTTGCTCACGTATTAGTGTTTGTACCTACATGGACGCTACTACATATGCGATGTAAGAGAGACAAAGATGGAATGAGCTCTCTCCTTGTCAAGCAGTCAGCATGTTACCACAGAAATTTCCCCCGCTCCTTATGATGA